TGATGATCTGCTCGACCATGGTGCTTCGTGTGGCCGTACGTGTTGGTGGGGCCCAGCGGGCCAGTGCTCGGGGATGGGGATCATGTTCTCGAAGCGCGTGGCGTCGCCGTAGACCGTGGCCCGACGACGAGAAGACAATGTTGGGCACATCGTTCTTCTTCATGACGCGCAGCAGGTTGATCGTGCCCGAGACGTTGACCCTGTAGTAGTCGAGGGGGATCTCGCCCGACTCGCCGACGGCCTTGAGCGCGGCGAAGTGGATCACGCTGTCGATGGCGGGGTGCTTCTGGAAGACGGCATCGAGGGCGGCCTCGTCGGTGATGTCGACCTGGTAAAAGTCGGGACGCTTGCCGCTGATCAGCTCGATGCGGTCGACGGCGACCTTGGACGAGTTGTACAAGCTGTCGACAATGACGACATCGTAGCCGTGGTCGAGGAGCGAGAGTGTGGTGAAGGAGCCAATGTAGCCCGTGCCGCTGATGCGAGGAGGAGGAAGTCGTCAGCCTGGATGCTTCCCTCGCAGGGAGAGCCAAGGGCGGTGGGGTCTTACCCGCAGACGAGAACTGTTCCAACAGGCATGGTGATGATGATCTGTGTGTGTGGTGTTGAGGGGGGGGGGGTTTGAGGTTGGGTGGGTGATTGAGGGGTAGTCTGTGGGGAAGAAAAGAAGAAACAGAAAAGCGCAAGGACAGAGAGGTTCGCGATGTGAGGGGGCGAGTGGTATTATAAGCGGGAGAACAAGGTGTCAGACCGGGGACTGCGGAGACTTTTTTTTGCCTGGTTTGCGGTGTTTGTCTGTAGGGATCCGGCCGGTATGAAGATCGCGACACGAAGGGCGGCATGAAAAATTTCGTGCCACCTCCCTCTTCTCAGGGCCGTCTCCTACCTGTGTTACCCCTCGACCCCTCGAAAACACCGCGCGCTGGCGCCTCACCTCATCACACACAGAGCGCACGCACGCGCACTGGATGGCGGGGTGACACACAGCTTGTAGGGTGCCACCCCCACCAGAAAGGTGCGGTAGCCTGGGCCTGGCCTGCAACACCCCTGCCGCCTGCTAAAAAGAACGATACGGTCCCCTGTAGCGTGCCGCCTCGCCCCCCTATCGCCGACTCTCTCGCTCCCGCCTGGCGGCCTGGAGAAAGGTTCGAGGCACTCCCTCCACTGTGGCTGGGAGCTTGCCCTGATCGGGTTCTACCTATCGCCAACCTCGTGTTTTTCCATGTACCTGTCTGCCCCTGGAGCCTCATCGGATCGTCGTGAGTTCTCGAAATAGCGGTCAACGGTCAACGGTCAATGGCTTGGTAATCTGTTCAATTCTCAATTTCTGCCACTCGCACAGGTGACAGCTGAGGTACGCAATTGAATGACCCCCGGCGACACACTACTCGGACCATCTCTTGCAAGATGCCATGGACAAGGTCGCTGTTGCACATGCAAGCCTTCGTCAGTCAGTATTCCGCCGCCAGGACCAGTGGATTCCCGAATCCCGCTGTCGGTCAGTCGTTCGCTGCTGGCGGCACGTGGGTCTGAGAGGGCCGGCGAACCATGGTGCATCGCCGAGCCTCAGCCCTCACGTTCGGTCCGATGCGGTCCGAAGCATGCTTTTGAGCGAGAGAAGGGCGGTTCAGAGGCTAGTGTGCTAGTTCTTGTCGCCTCAATAGCCTTGCTTTCTGCCGCTGGGTTGCTTTTCAGACGGATGCTACCTGGATGCTGTGCAAAACAAAAAGTATCATCAGAAAACACCTTGCCCTTCCATGTGCCAAGGCACAAGAGAATCCGAGAGCCATCACGTGACAAGTACGTACCTCGTGCAGTACCGACAGCATGGTGGAGACGCGTTGTGGTTCGCAGCAGCTGGAAGAGGGAGGGAAGGGTGAGGCGCGGCGCGGTGTGGCTCGAGCTCTTTCCCCGACCTCCTCGACGACCGCGAACCACGACAGGAACGACCTGGTCCCTGCGCCTGCGACCAAGAAGAAACCGTGACGCTCTTGCCGCGAAGGAAAAAAAAAACACTTCCTCTGAACCTCACCGCGCCTCTCGGAACCTCGACTACGAGCCTGGCGCTGCTCTCCCTCTCACGGGAACAAAGAGACGAACCGAGCCTTCTTTGTCGTGGCTGCTGCATCCAGACGCGAATGCGCCACCCATCACCAACGGCTCATTGACGTCAAAGCATCCACAAGGCCAGTCGTCGCGCATCCACTCACCCCGGAATCATGGTCCATCCATGAAAGCTCGACGCGCTTGTTCTTTGTCATTGAATATACCGCTTGGCTGTTCGACGGGAGTCCTACTCGAGAGGCCCGTTCATCGACTCCGGCCGGGGGGAAAAAACGCCTTTGTTGTTATTGTGGTTGCTGGTATTCCGGCGCCTACTACTTTCCGAAACTCGACGACAAGAAGCCCCACCACCAGTGAGCTGTTAGATTGCAGTCTACCTTGTCATTGAAAGATACACCTCTCAGAGACTTGCATTGTACTCATCGCAAGAAGGTCGATCCTCGCTCATGTTGAGTCGAAAATTCCACCCTCACCCCGTCACAAAGGTATGTCATCTCCCTCACATGGGCCCCTTTGTGCTCTCATCTGAGGCCCCACAGCTATTGTTGGCCCTCGTCAAGCTTCACCTTGTTCTCATAAACAAGACGCCAACCCCCCCTCCTCTTCCCTCACATTCATCCGTCATGGCCTCGTTCTGGCTTCTGTCAATCTCAATCGAAACTCGTTGCAAAAAAGAACCAACCAACTGACTTGCCTTCAGCATTGGGGTCAACGACTCGTCCTGACCCAACATGCCGCCCAGACGAAGTTCTCGCATTAACAGAGGCACCAGTGAGGAGCTCACAGACGACCCGTCTCGATCCATGTTCACTGGCGCCGCTGTTCAGACCAATCTCCCGCCCATTCCGTCGCGCTTCAGCACAGCATACGGCTCCGATGTCACACCGCCGCGTGTCTTGGGTGCCAGGAAAGGCGAACAACGCTCCATTCTGAATGTCATCGATGATATCCTTGATGCTGATGAGAGCGACGATCTTGGTGCAGACGGGATGGTGGACGAGCCTGAACCAACTCCGAAGCCGGCTCCAAAGCGCTCCACGCGCCAACCTGCACCAAGATCTTCCGCGCCGCCAACAACTGCACCAGGACAAGCAAGCACTTCTGCACCACTACCCGCACAAGTCCAAGCTTCCACATCAACATCGAAGCG